AAGCAGCTCTCTCACACAGGGAGCCCGGGCACCCCTTCTGCCCTGCCTTGTTCCTCTCCTCCTCTCTTCCACAGCACTATGGGAAAAAAGAAATTCAATCACTGTAAGGGAGGAGAGACTGTAGAAATATTTGACTGAAAATAACCTTCATGCTAATCTGAGTCCTGACAGCAGTTCTTGAACAGGAGCCAGGTTAAACGTGTGCCTGGGCTCTCCTCAGGGGCCGAGGTGCCCGGGCCAGACTCCAAGAGCCTGCTCCTTCTCTCCTAGGGCTGCACTGCATCCCCAGAGCCATCTGTTTCATCCCCACTTGCCTCCCTCACCTCCATCTATTCATCACCATCCCCTCCCTTGCCTCTGCATCCCCCCATCCTCTGCTGGCCACAAAGGCACCTTGGGGCAGATCCCTGTAAATCTTAGGGCCACTCCCATGGTAGTCATGAGTGACGGCCAGAATTAATGCCCATTTCTGGCACAGCACTAGGCTGTGGTGGGCCAGGGAAGGTTTTTCTCACCTAGCTGTCAGCTGCAGGAGAGGAATATTGCATCCCATCCCACCCACCTTGCTGGGTGGCTGTCAGAACTGTCCCTCTGGCAGGTTGGGCTGGGCTCTCTGCCTCCTCCCAGCCACTACAGACTGGCTGTACCACCCACCAGCTGGGCTGGGAGCATTCAATGAGGCCATGGTGGAGCAGCTGAGGGTGGTTTGACATGAAGCATTGCCGCCCATCTCCTCATGCTGACCTCCCACCACAGCAGAGCTCAGCTGCCTCCCTGCCTCCAAAGAGGGGTTTTTTTCCTACCTTCCTTTCCTTCAGGCCCTATATAAGTAGGTTTTTTAAGGTAGAATTTGCAGGATTCCTTAATGTCATTGACCAAATTCCCTTCTCTTCCTAGGGGGCACAAGAGAAGAGCAGAGAAAGGCTCTCCCTGCAAGTAGGGTTGTTCTCAGCCACGCTCATCAACAGCAGAGATGACAGGGTTAGGAGATCTCCTCTTTGCCCTTCAAAGTGCAACACCACTCACTGTCTATGGAGCCGGTATGTTTGGTGAACAGGCTGGACACCAGTGTGGGAGACAGGCACTATTTCCCATCAGGTGCACTCATCCCAGACCGCACATCTGTTTTGTGTCAAAGCCACCCCGAGCTCAGTGGGAACCAACAAGGGCCCTGTCCCCTGGGGAATCACAGATTTTGGGCCCACAGCCACTCCACAAAGTCAGGCCAAGCAGCCTCATTGTTCCACAAGTCTCTTATTTCCTATGCACCTCAGCATTCTCCCTGTCCCTGGAAGCCATTAGGTGTTTGCAGCAGAGCATTGCCAGATTCTCTCAGCAGGGCAGGCGGGGCCTTACCTGGGTCCTGCCCTAACACAGGCCGGGTTCCGTCGGGCAGGAGCCCACCGGCCGCAGGGGCGGGTCCCTGTGGGGCGGCAGAGCCAATCAGCTGGCTGGTTGTGAAGATTGACATCTGGATAAGCCACTCAAGAAGAGTTGCACACACCTCTGCGGAAAAGCGGGTTTAAAAACGAACAAACCCAGGCCCGCGAAGCTCTCTTGGCTTTCGCTGTTTGAGCAGTTGCCTGGCTGGGCTGGGCCGCGCCGGGCACTGCTGTGGCACTGGCCCCTTCCCGGGAAGCCGCCGGGCCCTGTGCCAGTGAGGCAGCTGGGGCCCCTTCCTGGCAGAGCCTGTTGGTCCTTTTTTGCCAGGGGCTTCCCCAGGCTGTGCCGCTGGGGACCGTCCCAAGGCTGGGTGCAACGATGAGACCAGGACCAGCGCTGGGATTGACCCACAGTTGGCACTGGGTGCAGCCCCAAGGCCAGGAGAGCCAGGGAGTGGCCGCTGTCACCCCGAGCCGGGACTGCGCGGCCAAAATCGGCACGACCAGGACAGCCGCGCATGGCCGTGGCTCCTCAGCATGGCTCGCAATGAACTTTGTTTGCTTAGCTGCTTTTAGCCAGCCATGCTGTGGACAGAAGGACAAAAATGGCAGTAGCAGCTTTTCCTGGTTTTGGTGCTCCGTGTGAAGAAAAGCACTGAGTAGAGCCAGCGGCCGGCACGGCTCACACAGTGTCGGCAGAGACCACGTAATCAGCAGTGAGAGGCACAGCGAGCGATCTCTCTGCTGTAGGGCCTGGATGAGATCAACCTTTCAGCACTGCAGAGCTCTAGAAAAACTGTTTCAATTGATTAAGCATGAGGACTGATGGACCTACAAACTCCGGTTCTCCCCCAAATCAGGAAAAGGAAAGGGTGAAGACACGTAGAGAAAACGACATGGGACACTGAGGTCAGTGAAGGAGTCAAACTCTAGATGGGAGGGGATTGAGGAGACGCCTTAGTTTTGGGCTGAAATTCTTTTGTAAGGCTATGGTGAAGATATATTTGATATATCAGACTTTGTTTTTCCCCTGTAATTCATGGAATGCGTTGGGAGGAATGTAGCAATGTAGCATTCTAACCACAGCCATGAGCAGAAGCATTCGTGTTGAAATAAGCAGATGTTGCAGCTGCTGCAATCCAATGAGAAGCTTGAACAGAGAGAGATGAGAGAGAGGAGAAACCTTGCCCAGGAGCAGAAAGAAGAAAACCTCCATTCCCAGAGATGGATGAAAAGAATTTTTGCTTTTATATTAGAGATGCTCATCCTTAATATAGTACCCTATAAGTTGACATGGCCCATGAACACACCTGTGGGAAGACTGCAAGAGATAGGAGGGACTTCATGATTGCAAATTTCCAGGCGGTTGCTATCTACGGAAATGAAAAACCATGAGAGAACTGTTTCTTGTGGAGAAGTCTCCATGGCATGGCAAGAGAGACTCCTCTCCCTAAGAGAACTGAAGAAAGACTGTTTTAGAGGTGACAAACTGACTGAAAGTCCCAAATTTTGTCTCTTTACATTTTCAGTGGGAAAGAAAAGAGGATGTGGGGGGAGGAGGAGTGTTCTGAAGGTTTATTCTCGTTTTCTTTTTATATTTTTCTTTTGATTCTGGTAATAAAGTTTTCTTTATACCCTTTAAAGTTTTGAGCCTGTTTTGCCCTGCTCCCAATCCATCCCACAGCAGGAGATGAGTAAATAATTCTAGTGGATGCATTGTTGTTTGGGTAGCACTAAACCCACTGTGCCTGGTAACCCAGGCTTCCATTGCTCTCGAATTGGAGCTCACCTAGCTGGAAATCCCATGGGTGCCCTCCCCTCTCAACCAGCTCCCCTGCACTTGTGGTGTCTGGCTGCTGGCCCAGGGCCTCAGGCCAGCAGGGCCATGCAGCCTCTCCTGGCAGAGGCTGAGCCTGCCTGGAGGTCTGTCCAACTCTCTGAACACCAGGACACATGTGATATGGAGTGACCCAAAGCACCAGGGCTGCTCTGGGTGCTGAAGTGACTTTTCTTTCACCAGTTGTATGCTGTAACCTCTGTTCCAAGTACAAGCACACCCCTTTCAGTTTTGTATTTCACTGCAGAGAGAGACCCCATCTCTTCCATGCCCCAGTGGGGAGGAAAGTACAGACCTCTGGGCTGCTTTGGATCTCTAATGTCTCTCTGGCTACAGCATGACATCCAACTCCCTCTGAGCTCTGGCTGAACTTGCCCTTCTTGAACACTGGTGACTGGACTCATACACAGTATTCCTGTTTAGTTTTATTCTTCTTCATATCTTTACAGAAAATGGCACATAAATCACAGATGCTGGATGACTAGAAGTTGTTACAGCTCCATATCTCAAACACCTCAATACTGAATTATTTTCTCACTGTATATACATTATTTACACTCCATGGGCTATCATCTAACACGTCAAACGATCGGGGGACAAAGACAAACAGGTTGGATGTCTGGGCTTAACCTCTGATGGAAGAGAAACAGTAGCTCTGGGGACAGGGTGCTCACAGCTGAAAGCAGGACAGAAAGGGTCACCTGGAAGTCACTGTCCTATGGCTTTCGGAGGGGGAATAGTGCTTCACTGGGATGGGAAGGTGATGGTACCATGGAGTGAGTTTGGCTGTGTGGGTCTGCATGTGCTCCTGTGGGATGTATGTACACGTTACAGGGTGTGTCAGGGTGGATGTGCATGGCTGTCATTCCCTTTAACGCTCAGAGGGTGCGCTGGACAAATTTAATTCAATAAATACATTAGGTGGATGTTGTTGTCTCACCTGGAATAATGTATTCAATAAATAAATTCACCATTCATCCCCTCTGCAGGGGTGTAGGGTTTTGGTGTTTGGCGCAGAGTCACACCCAGCCCTGCAGGACCCAGTGAAATTGGCTGGGATCAGCTCAGGGTGTCAGGTGGGACCAGGGTGTTGTACCTGTGGGCTAAACCTGCCTCTCCCTGCCAAAGAGAGGCAAACCATAACTGCTCTTTAACTGCAGTCCCTTCCCTGCAGACCTTAGTGCTGAGCAGGGAGAGATGGGTGGAAGATGCAAACCGCCCTAGATGGATGGTCATCGTTTCATGCAAGCTCTGCCATGGGCTTGTCCTGCTGCAGCCTGAGCCACAGGCAGAGGCGATGGCCAGCAGAAGGTGACGTGTCTGCCTGGGGCACAGTGGGACAGGGCACAAGAGGAAGGGCCTGGGCAGCACTGGGCAGAGATGTGCACCAAGGAGAGGTGTGGCAGCAGGGAATAGGCTTGCTTCAGGATGGCCAGTGGGGTTTGGGGCTGCAGCAGAAGGAGAAAGCCCCAGAGCCCAGTGTGAGGCTGAAGGGACCAGAGCCTTAGTGTCATTGGTGGCAGCGATGATGTGACACTTCCCAGTTCCCCAAAAGGAAGGGGTGGGGGGTGAGGAAGGCCTGGTGGGGTGGAGGAGCGAGGGGCAGGGGTGTGCTCAAGGGGAGCAGGCGGTGGGCACCCCTGCCAGGCAGCCCCAAACACAGAGACCAGGGCCCCTCTCCCTGGCAGGGGTGGCCAGGGACACCTGGCAGTCCAAGGGGGAACATGGTCCCCAGAGGACACAGTGTCTGTCGGGGCTGGCTTCTGCCACCTCTGTTGCCCCTAGATCAGCTTCTCCTCCTTCTGCGATGAGTTCAGCTTCTCCGTCTGTCTCTCATCCTCTGCCATGGCCGCCTCCTCCCCTGTCTCCAGCTTCCTGCCTGGGGCTGGGCTGTCCCCGGCAATGGTCCCCAGGACTTTGGTGCTGTGCTCCTGAGCTTTGGCCCTGAGGGCAGCAATGCTGTTTTCTCTCAGTTCCTCCTGGGAAATGGTGGTTTTGGGATCAGGACCCCTTTCTTCCTTGTCACCTTTGTCAAGCTTGGGCAGGGCCTGGCGCTCCACCTCTGTCTTCCTCCCCGCCTCAGCCGCTGCCTCCAGAGACTTTTTGTGCATCCCTAAAAAGAATTGTTGGTATTCGGGTTTAGAAAAGCGCCTGGGCATGGGAAAGCCATCTTGAACTGAAAACAGCAAAGATAAAGAGAGGCCAGAATTAAGGAAAAGCAGAAACCCTTGCTTCACACAGCAGTCATGGCGAGCCACTTGCTCTGGCCCCCGCACAAGGGCAGCCCAGCATCTGTGGACTGTGGCTGGTCCCAAAGGTTTATAATTAATCTCCCCTTCATTCCTCTCTGTGAACCTGAAGCTAACTTGTTCCTGCATGGAGATGAGGGTCTCAGACAGCAGCATAGCTGCCTGAGCTTCACCGAGGTTGGGGAGGGAGATCCCTCATTAGGAGGGATATTTTTATTTCTGTATCAAACCACAAACACCCTTCTGCCGTTCTCTGTTTCACAGGGACAGAAGGACAGGACAGCCTATTGTCAAGATGCCAGGTACTAGTTTTGGGGCAGAACCAGCCTGGAAGGTCAGAAAGATGGAAGCAAAGAGCAGGAGTGTGACAGGGTAGCTGCTACTTCCATGTCTGCACAGAAAACCAAGCGAAACTTGGGCAAAGACAGAGCATTTGGGAGTCTTAGCACCCTATCCAACATCACAGGGCTGGAGGAGTGAGACTGGGATGACCTCCTGCCTTGGGCAAGGACTGGAGCCCCTGCTCCAGAGCTGGGCATGAAATATGCTTGAGCCATGGGAAGGGAAGGGAAGGGAAGGGAAGGGAAGGGAAGGGAAGGGAAGGGAAGGGAAGGGAAGGGAAGGGAAGGGAAGGGAAGGGAAGGGAAGGTCAGCACCAGCCTGAGTGTGTGGGCAAATTTTTGTCCAGCCAGATTCTGGAGGTCATTATCCAAGGTTCAGCAGGAATTTGGTGGAATTCTATTGACAAGGGTCATTGGCAGATGGAGGTATTGAGGGTGGCAGGATGGGGGGACCTTGACCTGCTGCCCCTCACCTATTTTCAACACGACTCTGATTTCTTCCCTGCATCCCCCTGTCTCTACCCATTTGCTATCCCCCATGAATTTGGCTGGTCTCTTACCCAGGAGCCAAGGGGCACAGGACTCCATGATGCCATCCTTGGCAGACTTGAGGATGGACTCAGGCAGCGGGATGGAGTGACGCACCATGGCACCGTAGAGCCCGTACTCAGCCATCACACTGCTCCTGCCCCAGCACTTCTCCCTCTTCCGCCATTTGGCCCGGCGGTTCTGGAACCAAACCTGGAGCGAGCAACAAGGAGGGACATGGGTTTTGTGCATGGAGAAGGTGCGCCAGGCCCCTTCCCACGTGGGAACATGCATGTACTTCTGCAGCATGATGAAAGCAGATGGGTGGATGCTTATCCCAAAGGCAATACAACCTCTTCCACCATGCAACAGACATTGGATATCTCTCCCTCCCTCCCTTGAAGGAGTGGAGAGGGCCAAGTGTGAAAGCAGGTCCCATCCCTCTCCACAGGATGTAATTAATTTGCCATTGCAACATCTTTTTTCTAGTGGTGTTTGGCTCTCGTGCCTGGGATTTTCTTTTATTATTTGCTGTGTGTCTGAGCAACGATACAGGGCTGCAGGCAGCGGTGCCTGCAGGGAGGGCTGGGATGGGGGCGGATGCTCGAAAGAAGGGGGAAGCTGCTCTGTGCGCTTTGCCCTGAATTCCCAGTTTGAAAAACCCCTCATCTTCTCAGAAAATTGGCAGAATAATCTCTGAGCTGTGACCTGGGGGGCAGTGAGCAGAGAGGCAGGCAGCAATGGCAGGGAGGGGGTGATACTCGCAGAAATCTATTAGTGCTCTCTCTCCGATTTCCATTCCTCTTGTCTCCCTCACCCTCCTCCCTCCCCGGCTCCCCTCCCTTCTCCCTCCCCGAGCAGAGGCATCAGCTTTAGATGAAAAATTGCTTGAGGTCTATTCAGAAGGAGGCAAAGGAAGAGTCAGCCCCAGGGGCAGCCCAGGCCTGATTGAAAAATAAGTTAATTTCAGTTTGAATCGATGGGCCTCAGGCACTGAAATATCACGGGAAATTAAAGCAGCTGGTCCCCAGAGAACCACGCCATTGACCTGCGCTAATTAATGCCATGGAGTTACCAGGCCCCTCTCCGAGAGGCAGTCCCTCCCTCCCGGTGGACACCCCAAACACCTCCTCATTTAACTAATTAGACTCACAGAAAATTGGGTGTTAATTTGTTTAGGATTTTTTTTTCTTTTCTATTTTTTTCCCTCCCTTTCCCGGAAAGTACACGGCGGAATGGAAATGAATGTCGGGGTCTCGCTGGCAGATGGATGCTCGGGGTCACTCCGCAATCTTCTCCGACTTGATTGCTTGATTAGGTCGTTAGCACATTAAAAAAAAAAATTGCTTGCCGTCTGGCGCTGGCCTGATGAGTGGGATGAGGCGGGAATCGCCTGGGTAATTTATCTTTTTATACTGCAAAGAATTTGATTTCAATCTGCAGATATATGGAGGTGCCTTTGACACCTGTTTAACATTACAGAGCTGACAGCTTAACCCTCTCTTGTCCCCACTACTCGCAGCTGTGGGGGACTCAAGCTGCAGTGGGGAGCACCGGGGGTCTGTGCCAGTCCCCCAGCTCTGCCATGGGGACCGTAACACTGATGCCACTGAGTGATGTCCCGGTCTCAGGTGGCAAGGCAATATCATCTCTTCTACCAGTGCAGAGGAGAACTGCCCTGCACTGAAACCTTATGGTAGGGACAGAGCTCAGGGTGGGCAGATGGGTGGCTTGCTAGCACTGATGACAGCCACTGCTGGCTATTCCCAGGAGCCCAGCCAGCCTGCTCCCCCAGACAGCTCTGTGGAATGGGTGGGTGGTGGTCCCACTGGCTGTGATCCCAGCTTCTCCCAGCAGAAGACACTCTGTGCATGTCAGAGAGGATTTTACCAGGCAAAGGAAGGAGGCTGCTTCACCACGTCACCTCCTCTGCATGATAAACGGTGTGATTTATGCTTTCATACTGCCAGTCTGTAACCCCTGGATTGGGGAGGGTTGCAAATCCTCCAGGGCCTAAGCAAAGACCCCCAGGAATGCAGAGCTTCCTCTCTTCTCCCTCTCCTCCATGCCTGTGTGCAACATGGGTTTGCTTGGCTGTGCAGCCAGCAGGATGCTGGCAGAGGGTCTCACTCCAGGCCATGCAATCCTCCCATTCCCAGAGCACAGGGTGCAGAGCTGCAGGGGCCCCTTTACCGATGCTTTTACCACTTGCCCTTTCTCATCCTTCCTACCCTGATGTCTCTATCATATTCCTGCCTGCCTCATGCTCCTCTTCCTTTTCCCTGGCTGGGTCTCAGCCTGGCCCAGCACTGCCCACTGCCACAAACCCTGCTACCCTGGAGCATCCCCTTTTCCATGGCAGTGGAAATGCTGGACGCAGCAGAAGCTTTGCCAGCTGGCAGCCCAATTTTGACTAGAGCTGGTAGAAAATCTTCAATCAAAAAATGCTGATTCAATCACACAGGAAAAACTGTGTCCAGCCAGTGGAAGTGTAATCAAAATTATCTATAGCTTTCTTCTGAATGCTGTATTTTAATCTCAGCTGCCTAAGACATGCAAAATCTGTGCTTTAAAGCCAAATGAGAAAATCAAAATTGCATCAACATCTCAGTAAGATCATTCTGAGATTTCCAAAACCAATTTTTGTTATTTGATGGGAATTTCCTCCGGGTTTTGATTAGGAAAAATGAAAGTTTGAAATCACAGAATGTTTAGCAGAACAGAAATCAGGAAGACTGACCATCTAGGTTTAATACTAGGAACCATATCTTCATCTGAGGCATGAAATGAAGTGAAACCAATGGTACTCAATACTGTGTATTGCTGGGATCAGATCCCAGTCAAGCATCTCTGTCACAAGCTCATTCTGAGGAACACTGAGTGACGAGCTCCAGCATGACACTGGCAGCCCTCATGCCATTTCAAATCAGCAGGATTGTCCCCCGTGTCCTGTTTCCATGATTTTGTCCTCATTCAGATGGCTCCATCAGTGGGGCTTTCATTTACAAGAAGATCTCAGTGATTTATTCAAATTTATCAATGTGCTGCCAAAATTTTCACGTGCCTTGATTCTGAGCTGAATTACACAGTGATTTAGTAACTCAGAGCTATTTTCAGCTGTGTTGGCACATCAGGCACAACATCCAAATATGCAGTTATTTAATATTGGCCCCTCACTTTTCCAGGAGAGGGTTTCCCCCTTAGACTTTATTGACCTTACATATCTCTTGTGGTTTTGGCATTCTTTGGCTGCTTATTGTTCTTTCTTGGATATATCTACTCTACAGCTTCCTCTGACTGTGTAAGATTTGGTCTGCTTCCAGCAATGTCTAGGTTTGTCCACATTTCCTCTTTCCCCTTCCCACCCTGAGGATTGGCTCAGCTTTGTGAAATGCTTTACTGGCCTTGCTCTGTACCTTGCACCTTCCTTCTCACTTGTTTTCATCTGGGTCTCTGCTGCACAGCCCAGGCTGTGGTGAAAGGACTGTGCTTCTCCTTCCACACCTCATGGGCAGTGGTGAAACCTTCTGATTAATTTTAGATTGCAGTATGTCACATGTTTGTGCAAAGCTGCCACAATGTGATGTGCAAAGGTGTCTTTTGGACCAATGTGTTACACCCCAAAAAGTTTCACACCTCTATTTTCACACAAACACCCCTTGTGAAATCTGGCAAACTGCTCCAGGAAGCCTGTTCTCCAAAAATGAACAATGGAGAAAAATGCACATGTTTGTCTTGCAGTGTTGCGAAAAGTGGGAATGTTTCTGACTTTAATCATCACCTAACACTCACCTCCAGTGCCCACTGCCCAAAGCAATAAAAGTTCAGGCACTCTGTACTTGACCACAGAGTTGCAAGGGTTTTGGAGTGGGAATTTTGGAGTCAAGACTGGCAAGGATAATCTCAACAGTTTCCTCCTCTGAATCACAGATGACAACTGATACTTCTCCAGATTATTGATGATGCAGAAGAGCAAATTGTAGGAGGAGAAATCTCTCATTTTGCAAGGGGACATAAGACTTGACACATCCTTGTTATCCACATTCATCATATTAGTTTGTTTACCAAATCAGTGTCTGAAACGTTGTCTGCTGAAGAGAGAAATCTCCCTAAGGTTAGCCATAATTCAGAAATCTGAATTAGTGAAGGGATATTTTAAAACATCTGTGGTATTGCTGTGTATTGTTTCTGGTTTTTTCAACCTAAAATTTTCCACTGGTAACACTCATTTTCTTGGCAGCTATTTTCCAAGCTAGGGTGAAAAGACAGGAGAATTTATATTGGATTTTTTTCTTATTAATATAAATATATATATATTTTCCCTGCCCAAGCATTCCTCATCTATTAAAGGAAAATTCCAGGCTTGAGAATTGTAAAAATTTTGCTTCAACCGATCTCTCGTCCTGCCTCTGATGGAGCATTCCAAGAGGGCGTTTCGAGGATCGGGGTTTGTGGAGCACAAGCCCGGAGCTGAGTGTCCGCTAGATGGCCACAGGCAGGGCCCGTCCGTGCCCGCGGACACACGGACACGGACACACGGACACACGGACACGGACACACGGACACACGGACACGGACACACGGACACCGCGTGCCTGTGCCGGGCTGCGCACAGCTGTGGCAAACAGCCAGGAAGGAAGGAAGGAAGGAAGGAAGGAAGGAAGGAAGGAAGGAAGGAAGGAGGGAGGGAGGAAGGAGGGAGGGAGGAAGGAGGGAGGAAGAAAGGGAGGGAGGGAGGGAGGAAGGGAGGAAGGGCCCCGAGAGGCGCTGGGAGCGGTGCCCAGCGCTCGGACAGGCCGGTGTGCGCTCTCTTTGTCCGCACTTCACTGCCCGAGGCACTCCGGGGGATGGAGCCAACACCTCCGGGATCTGCCCTCCCCGGCCGGGGCTGTTGGTACCTCAGTGCCCAGCTTCTCCTGACAAATACACCTCTCCCTTTCTACCCTGACCAACCCAAGACTTAACAATGATAGTGCTCAAAATTAAAACCTCCTCTGATAAAACAGTGATGTCCTCATCCTCATATCAGACAGGACCTGTAGCCCTGGCTGGGTTCAGTCTGAAGATGTGAACACTGCAGAGAATGGCCTCATATCTTGCTTGGAGCACGTCCCCACCCATACCGGGGCTGTGTAACATACAGCCATGAGAGCATGAGCTCTGACTGTGCTCTGGGGCTTCCTCCAATCCCTCGGTTTTAGCAATCACTACAG